TAGCAAAATTCAAACACAGTTCAAGACAGCTCAATACGGTGATACTCAAGGGCACACCAAAAATGTACAGATCTGTTAATGGATTTTTGTGCATGTGTCACTGAATTGTTCTTTCGAGCTGAAACTGTTTATTATATAAATAAGATGGAGCACGCATGGGAGGAGGAGGATGCATGCATGCTCAGATGGGGTGGACGGAACAAAGGGACACAAAAAAGCAGGATCACCGCACATGAAAGATTGACACACATAGATATAGCAGTTGCAAGAAAGAACAGTAGGCAAGGAATACAAAGATTGATTATGATGAAAGGAGTTGAGGGGAAGAATGGAGGGGCATAACAGACATGTTACATTATTATATATCAATAGTGCTCCCATATCTGTCTATGTAGCTGTATTCAGATAAGAGTGGTAATTCATGCAAGTTGCAAGTCGCTGTGAAATCTGGCGATGCAAACTCTGTAGGGGGTGGTGGGTAGAGTGGGTGGAGTAATGATAGTTATTTCTGTTTACTAAAGGAATGAACTGTAATCTGTTCTCTATTAAAGTTATTTCAAATAAGGAAACACTTCAATTTTTTTCTTTAAACAGCTTTAAAAAAAACAGAAGCATGTGTTCTGCCAGGAAAAATCACAGCCACTGTATAATATTGGAATGCTTACAGAACACCCAACTGATCAAGCACAGCTGGGCTAGTTTAATTTTTTTTGAAATTATGTTTTAAATATTAAAATTCATCTTTATTTAAAAAACAGATCGATTGCTAAATTTGTACTTATGCACTGAGCAGTTGGATGTCCCACCCACCTGGATGTTTCAGAGAGTGCAAAAGATAGACTCCAGTTCAACAGGAATTTGATCTCCAAACCAGTCTTACAGAGCACCAAAAGGAACAATAACTACAGGTGAGCTACTACTACCACTGCAGCCTTTGTACCTTGTTTCACCATTCTTAATAGAAGGCCCATTGCCATGGATCAAATCACATTTTCGTGACCACATATTTAAAATCAGGCTGCAGCTTATGCAAAAGTACAGAAGTGATGTTTAATGTTGCTGTTTTAAGTTAAAATGGCAAAGAATGATGACCAAGTTGCAAAAAGGGGAACGGAGAAAATTTTAAAAGCCAACAAAAGATGACCAAAAAAAAAGAGAAAATAAACTGAGGGCAAGTTAACAAATAACAAAAATCGACAGCAACAGCTTCTTTAAATAAAAGAGTGATGAGAAGGGCCACAGTGAACATAGGCCCCTTCAAGAATGAGTCTCAGGAGCCAGAAAATAGCAGAGGAGGAGTTGAGTAAGTACTTAAACATCATTCTTCACAGTACAGGGCCATTAATAGCATTCTAAAAACATTAAATAATCAAGGGGAAAGATGCAGGAAATAAAGTAAGTAACTACCATCAAAAAAAGTGTATTGCGGAAACTAACATGGCTAAAAGCTGATACGTCCCTGAGGCCTGACTGGTTGTATCCTAGGATATCAAAGGAAGTAGCTGCAGACATGGTTACGCATTAATAGTAATTTTCAGAGAATTCTTAGATTCTGGAAAAATCCCAGAGGATTACCGAACTGCCAATGTTACAATGTTATTTAAAAAAGGGAGGCAGACAAAAATCAGGTAACTATAAGCCAGATAACCGAATGGGTGTTGTTGAGAAAACGTTAAGTCTTAAGGATGTAATAGCACAGCATTTTGAAACACATAACATGATCAAGCAGAGTTAGCATGCCTTCATGAAGGGGAAATTATGCCTGACAATTTTATTACAATTCTTTGAAAAAGTAACAAGATAGATAAAGGGGAGCCAGTATTCAATTTCCAAAAGGCATTCAACAGAAGGTACAACATAAAAGGTTATTTAATAAGATCAGACAAAAGCCCAAGGTGGTGAGGGTAATATATTAACAAGGGTAAAGGATTGGCTCGCTAATAAAAGACCAACTCTTGGGGAAAAAGCAGGGCATTTTTTTTGGATGGCAGTCGAAAACTAGTGGAGTGCTAAGGCCGCATTTATATACAATATATATCACCTGGAATTTGAAAATGAATGTGCAATTGTCAAGTTTGTGTATGACACTAAATAGGTGGGAAGGCAGGTAACGAGGTCACAAAGCAGTTTACAGAGAAGTATAGACAGATTAAGTGAGTGGGCAAAAACTTGGCAGATGGAATATAATACAGGAAAATGCAAGGTTATGCAGTTTGACAGTAAGAACAGAGGAGCTGAATATTATTTAAATGGAGAAAGACAAAAGAAAGCTGTGACACAGATTTGGAATTCTTTATACACGAACCACAAAAAGCTAACATCCAGGCAGGTAAATAGGCAAGGCAAATGGACTGTCAGCCTCTATTCCAAAAGGAAATGGAATATAAAAATAATAAGTCTTGCTAGGACTATACAAGGCACTAGTTAGACCATACCTGGAATACTGTGAACCTATCTTGGTCAAATTATCCAAGGAAAGATATACTGGCATTGAAGGTAGTGCAGAGGAGGTTCAGTAGGTTGATCCCGGGCATGGAGGAGTTTCTTATAAGAAGAGGTCGAGTCGGTTGGACTTGTACTCGTTAGAGTTTAGAAGAATGAGACGAGACCACCATGAAAGATTCTGGGGGGAGGTGGGTGAGTTGACAGGGTGGATATAGACAGGTTGAGTCTCTTGAGGAACAATGATCAGAAGGCATTTTCTCAGTGTAAGGGTTCGCTTACTTAAGACAGAGATAATGAAGAATTTCTTCAGATGGTAGTGAACATATAGCAATATTTACTATGGACGTTTGTGGAAGCTGGGTCATTAAGTACAATCAAGGCTGAAAGAAACAGATTTTTAAATTGTGATCTCACTGAATGGCTGAGAAGACTTGATGGGGTGAACGGTTTGCTTCTGTTCCCATTTCTTATAGTAAAGAGGCCATGGCGGTGAAACCTCTATCTGGGCTGGATTTAAGTCACTTACAGAGACAAGGAGTTTGCTGTAATTTTAATCGAGTTTATAATGGATTCAATTTGAAACAGAAAACTGAAAACAGATGATTACTTAACATTTGGGCACAGCAGAAATTGGAAGTGATATGCTAGTATAATAATGGGGCAATCTGAGCATGATGTTCAAATTTACTTTGAGAGGAACTTCAGCTGGTCCTTAACTGGAGTATTTTTATAAATGGCCATTCAGCCAGTGTTATAGTTTCTCAGTTAAACTAAGGAAAAATAATTCAAGTGATGGAAATCAAATAAAAACAAAAACCAGAAATGATTGGCTTGTCAGAACTGTAGAGAGACAATTACTGAATGTTTTAGGTGAACGATTCGATCGGAACTCCAGATTTCTACACAGATGCACCGACAGAGAATTTCCAGAATTTTTTTTGTTTATCATTTCTCACTTTGATTGTGTAAAGAAGGGTTCCAGCACAGAAAGGTGGCCATTCAACTTATGGGGTCTGTGCTGACTGTCCAAAAGCAGTAACTCTCCTTGTGCCACCTGTCCTGCACCTTCTCGTTGTCCTTCATTCTTCCTGTTGGATCATAATTTAAATTCCCTCTTGAAAGCCTTGATTCAGCCTGCCTCCACTACATTCAGACAGTACATTTCAAATCCTAAATATTTTCATGTAATAACTGTTAATTCACATGATGCCATTAGACCATACCTGGAATACTGTGAACCTATCTTGGTCCCATTACCATAAACCTGCGCGCTCTTTGGCTCACGATCCTTCCACGAATGGAAACGATCTTTACCTATTTAATTTGACCAAATACCTCTATCCCCCCACCTCAAACTTCTCAAGGAAAATCTGTCCCATCCTCTCCAACATATCTACGTAATTGAAGTTCCAGACTTCCATGTACTCCAAAGGAAACAATTTCAGACCATGAATGTGGTGCATTCCCATAAAAGGAGGAGGAAATCTGGCTTTCCAAATATCGTCACTCAATTTCAGTAGCACTACTATTGGCTACCCAGATAAAGAACTGGTTGGCAGGCAGGAAACAACAGAGTAGGAATAAACTGGTCTTTTTCAAAGTTGCAGGCAGTACCACTGGGATCAATGCTTGGAGCTCATTATATACACAGCCAATTTAGATGAGAGAACTAAATGTAACACTTTCAACCTGGGTAGTAGTGGTACGGCGAACTGAGAAGAGCAGGCAGAGATGCTTCAGTATGATTTGGACAAGTTGAATGTGTGGACAAATACACAGCAGATGAATGTGAGGTTATCCACTTTAGCAAAAAACAGGAAGGCAGATTATCTGAATGGCAATAGATTGGGAAGAGGTGGTGCAACAAGGCCTGAATGTCATTGTACACCAGTCACTGAAGGCCTTCATAGTGAAAGGATTTGAGTACAGGGCCTTGGTGAGACGACACCTGGAGTAATGGATGCTATCTTGGTCTCTACCAGAGGAAGGTTGTTCTGGATATTGAGGGAGTGCAACAAAGTTTACCAGACTGATGCCTGGGATGGCAGGACTGATGTATGAAGAGAGACAGGATTGGTTAGGACTATATTTAGTTGATTTTAGAGGAATTTTGGGGCAGGAGGAGGAAGAAGTATTTTAGAAACCTATAAAATGGCATCAGAACTAAACAAGTAAACACAGGATGAATGTTCCCAATGACATGAGAAATTTCTTCACCCAGAGAGTGATGAGCCTGTGGAACTCTATGCTGCAAAGCAGTCAGGGCCAAATCATTGAAGGTTTTTAAAAGAAGGAATTAGATATGGCACTTGGAGCTAACGAGATCAAAGGGCATGGAAAGAAAGCATGGGTTGTATGATCAGCCAAGATCATATTGAACAGAGAAACAGGTTTGAAAGGTCAAATGGCCTACCCCAGCTCCTAATTTCTATGACACTAGTCTTTGCCAAAAGTACCTTCCCAACACTTTCCAGGAGCGTGGAGAACACAGTATTACATGCTATAGCAGAGTAACACGCCTTCCTTCCTTAACTTAACACAAAAAGTGTCCTAACCTCTCACCTCCATGTCCTCCCGATGAGATCTCTCCCTCTCCTCAAAATCTCTGGCTCTCCTTCGGGCATCTTCAAATGCCTGTTGTGCCAGTGCATCCTCCTGCTGCAAAAAAATATGGAGTCACTGAATGGAAGTTTCAATAAAATAGCAATAGTCATGAGAGTTAGTAATAAGTTCCAAGGATTTTCTGAATCTCATTAAAAGCTTTTCTGAAATCTTATAAACACTCAATAAGCATGAAATTCCCTATTTCAACAAGGATGTAAAAATACAAATGAAATGAATTAGTACAGTGAAGGATATGCCTCTTTTCATTACAATACAGCACAAATCCAAAGCAACAGTAACCCATTCACAAAGCAGGGAAATTTCAAGTTCGATAAAATTGATACACTAGTTGCTGTCAGTATCTTATTACAAGGATCACTCCCCAGCATTCAGTTCCTACTGCTCAATTTCACTTTACCTCGGATAAATTTTACTGGCCCAAAATATTTGGGAGAGATAATTCTATGAATGCGCAAATATTACACACGACCCGAAATTGGATACTTAGCACCTGCTTTTTGAGCACAAGTTACCTCAGCACTTCAAACAGATGCCTAAATAGGGAGGAATCACGCAAGCATTCATATTAGTGCAGGTGACAGTGGTGTGCAGTTACCAGTTTTGACACTTCAGAGCTCAAACTTGCACAACTGAACATGGGGTCAGCAGCAGAAGGGTCTCTTCAAAAACACTTTTTCCAAGGAATCAACTACTTACAGATTACTTACTGGCCAGCACCCTCTAGTTTTTGTTACAATTTTAGAAGTGCTTTGTGTCATTGATTCCAACAGTACAATTTCATAGGGACCCATGCGGCAGGACTGATGGATTATTTTTCAACTTTAAGGCTTCTGCACAAAAAACAGAAGCAAAGTACTGGAAAAACTCAGCAAATCTGGCAGCATCTGTAGGGAAACAAACAGTTAACGCTGAGTCCAGTTCTGACAAAGGGTCACCAGACTCAATGTTAACTCTGCTTTTCTCTCCACAAATGCTGCCAGGTCTGCTGAGTTTCTCTAGCATTATTTTCATTATAGTCAGAGTCACTCTAATGAGGATATCCCTTTTCTGCCCAAGACACTGGGTTGCTCCATAGATTATTAATGAATCTACACGAGAAGGGATATCATCTCAGTCCATCACCCTCCATTCTGACGGATACTTAGGTCGGTTTCATGTAGTGTGCTAGGAGCACAGAAATCAAGCATAAAGTCAAATTACCTTCTGTACCTTTTGATTCAAAGTATTATCAATACAGCTGATGCCATAAAAAACTGTTGGGTTATAGACATCAAATTCCAAAATATTTTGATACCAATAACTTTAGAAAGTCATGCATTCTTCATAATACAAGGGGCTCTGAAAAGAAGCAGCCCATAGGTTGTGCAAACATTGAAGGAGGACCTAACTACAATGATTCATCACAATTTAAATAATGAGTTATAAACCAGTTAACAGGCAAACTGTGTTAACGATATATACTACATTTTGTGCTACACCAAGTGTTAAATATGCTATAAGTTTGCAATTCAACTGCATTTATCTTCATACTACTTTTTAATACAATGGCTACAGTACTTTTGCCCAGCTGAGCTAGTTAACTCAGTGGAGTTGGGAAACAAAATCTCAAATTAAGTATAGCTTAGGTACATTGACTTAAACATTTCTAAAAAAAAAATGGGCCAATGCTAAATGGGAGAAGTCACTTAAAAGGTCTTTTTCTTTGTACTGGAAGCATTAGGCAAGTTCAAAATTAACAGCCCCTAACAAGGTTATGACAATGTTTGAAGAAAAAAAATCAATGCCCTTAGCAATTACCCAACATTCATCACCACACAATACCATGTCTTTAAAACAAAAACAATTTTTTCTTTTCAAAAAGACAAAAGCAAACTTCAAACTAACAAGAACTAATGCTATAAATTTTGCTCTACATTTTATTCTCAACCCCTCCCCACCACTTCCTTGAATTGAAAAAGGATTCTTCGTCTTAAAAAATCCCAAAGGTTCATTAATTCTTGTTAGGACCAACTCAAAAGACATGCCACAGCCCTCTAGAATTAACTTCAATGTTCCTCATGTGTCCTCCTAATCCTCTGAGGTAAGATTCTATGGGGGTCCTTTCATTATCTTTTCAGCTTATTGAGACTGGCATTATTTTATTTTTATTTTACTCGTTTTTTGTTTGGAACTGACAGTCAAAGTCAAGAATTGAACTTTGAGCAGCAGCTTGTTTGCAAAAGAGAGTGCAAATGAACTTGTGTTTGTTATGGAAACTGTCCTTGAAGGATAGTACAATAATTAAACTGTGATTAAGAACATGATAGATGTTCCAGTAACAAGATGTTTTAGTCTTAGGACTGGCAACTGGTTGCATGCTGAACTAATCAAAGGATGATCAGTGCTGGCTGGCAAGGCACAATGCTGCTAAAAGAGAGGGAAAAAAAAAAGTGAAACATTCTGACTGGGGTTCTGAAGCACAACCGTGTTGCTTCTGGACGGTGCCGCTGTATTTTGCGCTCTTTGATTTTCGCTGCAGTTGTCAACTTCTTAGTTGTTCCACAAAGAATACAGACCTCTGTAATAAGTGGATAAATAATCTTGGAAAGCTACTGAATCTGTTTGCATGAATCAGTGACTTTGGAATTCAAGCAGGACCTACCGTTGACATGTCTTTTACAACTCTATTAACCAAGGATTTCTGAAGGCCTGGTACCAATCATAAATCTGTTGAACTGGCAAATAACAATTGTTTTTAATTTATCTCTAACTGTGTCAACGTGAAAGTGAGTTTCTAGCTAAAGGAGATTGGGTCTAGATCATTGACGTTAAATAGATTGCCTTATTGCTTATCCATGCCCTGCTACAGTTATATTATTAATAAATTGTTAATTCATGTTCCAAATTTGATTATGTTATTCTTAAAGTCCAGTTAAGGACAATTGAGCAATTTTGAGAGTCACTGAATGTTTTAAATTTTAATCATGTTATGAATCCGGGGATAAGGAGGCTGATTTGGTTTGGCTTGCTGTCCCCATGTCATAACAGGTGACATAACCTTCCACTTTCCATCACAGTTCCTGTGATCGTGAATTGGTCAATACCCTGTTCCAACTGTCAGCAGACAACCGGCTTTCCCTTGGTTGACTGCTTTCTGCTATAGGGCTTTGCTGCGAACAAAGAAGTTAGTACTTGTCTTCTCAAAGAGATGACCAAACCAACCACCTCCTGTTGGCTTACTAGTTCTGATGAGATGCAGCACGAACCAAAGCAAAGTTACAACTGCCTGTCAATTCTCCACATTTAACTGCTTATTTCTGTCAGCAAGAACATTTTAACTAAGACTTTATCCTGAATCAGCATCTCAGTAGGGTTTAATACATGGTTTAACTAAGTGTAGACGTTCTGACTCCTTTACAAGCCAAGGAATGGATTTACACTTCAAGATTTCAAGTTCAAGATTTATACTTATACCTCTGACCTTAAGATAAACATAGGTTAGTTTTTAACTGCAATTAACTGCAAGCTCATTGAAAGTGCATTCCCCTGGGTTATTTACCAATTTCACAACCAGATGCCATTTATCTACAGTTAAAACATTAATTCCAACCAAAAAACACTAATTCCTGAATCTAAAAGTCAGATTCCAAAACAAGACATTCACAACATACTGGCACAATGGCAAACTACTAACAATACTTTTGCCTTTTTATAACTTAATATTGCCTAAACATTCAGTGTTCATGAAGCTATTCAAGTGGCTAAACTGAAGAGGAATTAGCACTTAGCAAGAAATCAAAGGCAAAATCCAACTGGCACTATTGTGTAGTATATAGTATGTCAGCTGGTCAACGAAACTGTGACTGGCCCAATTTCCTTGCTTACCTGTGCACGGTCTTCATCAAACTCCAGACAGCCCATACCATCAAGTCGCTGGAGGTCAATCCAGCCTTTCCAGATCACACAAACTCCATTAAGAATCATTGGAGCCTTCAGGCACACCTATGTTGAATACAAATTGCAGTAATGAATTTAAAGAACTGATGGCAATTGCTCGCTCCAAGTATATTTCACAAGCCAGTAAGGATGTTGAAACTATGAAATTGAGAAATTAATAGCATAATTACTAAAATTATGACTCAGACTATCAAAACATTTATCAGTCAAATTCTTCACTCAGCTACAAGAAGGCATCACGTTATAAGGAAACCAAACATAACCCATTCTCCTGTCTAATAAATGTCAGAGGGATGTTTTCCTATCCATGAAACTATCAAATACTTTAGTGCAAAGTAGGGTGTCATTTGAAGATGATATTCTAAATGCTAGAGTGGAGGTGTAAGTGATAAGTTTGTGTTGAAAGCTGCATTGAGCAGTGGCCACAGAGTTTCAGGAAAGCACTGATGTCTCATGCACATCATACACAATTCAAACTATGCATGAGCACACCACTCTTTCCACAAAGGCCTGTAGATCAGTAGATTGATTAAAATTTTGATTATTTATTCAGGATCCGTATATTTTCAGGTTGTAATCAACTTTATTCAAACATTGTGTAATAATGCATCTATAGCATCTTATAACCAAACAAAAGAGAATAGCTTAACAGTTTATGATTTCATACCTGGTCGTTCACCACTTGAAGTAAATTAGAAATAACATTTTCAAATAAAAAATAATCTTTCAGAAGTTACTTGAATTACGTGCCAAACTCCATTTCACAAAGACGAGCACAAGTACAGGCTGAAAAAGATTTTGGATGATCTAATCATACAACAAACCCATGGTTCCCACTATCACAACTTCAGAACATTACTTGAACGATCAAAAGACTTTGTCTCCCCTAGACAGCAAAAAATTATTCCAGCTTTTAATGAAATCAAAAAAAAAGCTTCTGCACACCATGTCACAAGACTGCTGTTTGGATGTTATAAATGTGCCCTTCTGTCATACAGTGCACCTCTTTGATAACTACGTTTCCAAATTTTGTCTCCCCTGAAAATTGAAATTATGTCTTGTATGCCCAAGTCTAGGTTATTAATAAACATAAAAACAATAGTGGCTTATACCAGTCCTATCACAATATACCTTCCTTCAGTCCGACAAACGACTGTTTGCCATTAGTTTGTTTTTGGATGCTTTACAATTTAAAAAAAAATTCATTATTGCCATTGTCCCTTTGCTAATAAATGTATTGAGTGAAAAACCATTATAAAGACCACCCACACTTAGGGTGTTCAAAGAAGTGGCTAATGAATTAAACGTGTTATGTTAAATAAATTAGGTTCCATTGTATTGGAAAGCAGCTAGAGGGGAGCAAGACAGAACAGAAAACTAAAAGCACAGCTAGCTTGATATCTGTCATAGGGAAGTAGATCAGCACTTGGTAAAACCCAAGGTAGTTTAGAAGTGTCAGCATCGTTTTGTGAATGGAAAAAAATCTTTAACCAATTTATTGGAATTTGCTGAAGGAGTAAATGCGGTGTAGATAAAGGTGAGTCTGTTGATGAACTGTACTTAGGGCGCCAGAAGGCATTTGACAAGTTTCCTCACGAAAGGTTATTGCACAAACCAGAAGCACAGACACTAACATACTAACATAGTTAGGGGATTGACCAAATCTGCAGTAGGCATAACTGGGTCTTTTTAATTCATACAATATGATAAACAAAGTCCTATAGGAGTCTATACTGGATCCTCAACTACTTATGTCAGGACTTAACTGAGGAGACTGAAGGCATGGTGGCTGAATTTGCTGATGACACCAAGGTACAGGTTTCATTAACGCGAATTGGCTATAACGCGATAGATGAATAGTGGACGCTATCTGGATAATGCGAACTTTCTGCGGTACAGGTAGCAATTTCCCTACAACATGATTTTCTATGGCAATTTTCTATAGTGCGAGGTCACACAAGAATGCAACTATCACCTTATAGGAGAACTACCTGTAGGAAGGAAATATGCTGTGTAAATGATGTAACAAGGACGCAAAGTGATATAAATAAGTTGAGAGACAGTGTACAAGAAAATCTGGCAGATGTGGCACGATATGAAGTTGTTCACTTTGGTAGGAAGAACAAAAATAGAACAATATTATTTAAAAGCAGAACTGCTACAGAATTCTAAGGTACTGAGGGGATCAAGTTTTCTAGTGCACGAGTCACAAACAACATTCAGTACAGCAAGTGATTAAGGTGGTTAATGTAATGCTTTTTTAAAAACAAAAGAAATTGAACACAGAAGCAAGGTTCATAGAACATTCCCAGGGTCATAGAACATTCCTTAGAACATTACCAGGGTCTCTGGGTTAACTAGGCCATCGCCTCCCTCAAGTTGTGGTCATTGCTGTGGTCTTGGCAATGTCCTGTATAACGTGAACATTATAGAAACAAGGTGAACAGAAATAAGATTCCCCTTATTTCTAACCTAACAAAGGTGAACTGTAATTTTAAACAGTGCCCTTTAGTTTTGGACTATACCACAAGAGTTTTGGTCTTCTTAAAGAAAGAAGAAAATATGTTGGAGGTAGTTCAGATGAGGCTTACTAGATAACTGGAAGTGGAATATCTTTTGAAAACAGGTTGGACAGGCTGGGCTTGTGTCCACTGGAGTTTAGAGTGGCAAGGGATGATGTGTTTGTAGTACAATAGATGCCGAATAGTCTTGACAGGGTAGATATGTTCACGTTATACAGGACATTGCCAAGACCACAGCAATGACCACAACTTGAGGGAGGCGATGGCCTAGTTAACCCAGAGACCCTGGTAATGTTCTAAGGAACTGAGTTCAAATCCCACCATGGCAGATGGTGGAACCGGAATTAAATGTAAAAACAAAAAATCTGGAATTAATAGTCAAATTATTACCATGAAACAACTGCCAGAAAAAAAAA